ATTTATAACATAACGTATTATTACAGTATTCATTATTACTTCAACAGAAGTTTTGTATAAGCTTTAAGAACTCAATATGTATATACTTAAAACATGGCATACACTGTGCGATAGTCATGGTGACTTTGTAGATGTGGCAGGGGTGCTCTTAGTATCCTTCCACAGTTTTTCACATGATTAATCAATTGACGGTTATTTGTTGCAAAAGTGTCTTAAGGGCCAAAGTTGAAAGGTCACAAGTCAAAGTAGGAAGTTGGTATAACTCAAGAAATGGCTCTTCATATCAGCCTTATGGTGGCTGTTGGAGTAGAAACTTCGTCTGAGTTTATGTATTACTGCAGTACTGGTGGGCCCTTTTTTTTATTCATTCCTCTTTAGAGAGTGCTAAAGCTCTCTCCGAGATATATATATGACATTTTTGTGCTAATGAATTAACTACTGAGCTCATTAACCAATTACATTAAACTGACTATTCTCACATGAGACTTAGATTATTGAAATAACTGGAAAATTAATTTTGATTAGTTTATTAATTGTGCTAATCAATTAAGCTGAACAAATATGGGCTAATAAAAGATAATAATTAGAAATCATAGAAGCAGTAATTTGGTTACTGCTTTGTCTGAAACAATCAAACAGTAGTGACTGGAAACTATAAAGGTCAATTTGGAGTCACGAACTTGGCTGTTTCAACTAAGCCCATAGTGAAAGTGTTAAACACTTATTATGGATATAATATTGAGAACCCACATATAAAAAAATCTTAAGAAGAAAAGGTTGAGCAAATTTCACATGAATGTGAAATAGCTGAAAGACTGAAAGATTTTTAAGAACATAATTATATAAAGTATTCTAGCAGTGTAGCTACTATTGAATTGCAGTTTAATATTTTTTTAACATTAACTGCAACAAACCATTTAGCAAATAAGTGAGGCATAATAAATGTATATCGATGTTTCTGTGAACACTAATATGAATGCTTTGATAGGTTTGCTGTGATTTTCTATTTTAAGGGAACATTATGGATCTCTTAATTCATACCACTTTAAGTTATGCTGTCAGTTAAACGTGTGTTCTAGATAGTAAAAGTATACGGTAAAGTACAAAATCACTTTCATGTTTATACAGAGAGTGTGTAGAGTGCATGCAAAAATAGTAAGAAGACTTAATTTTTATGTTATAGTGTTTTATTATATTTGTTAACTATTCTTTTACCAGCTGGAGTAAGAAGCCACAAAAGTTATAACAAAGTTTATTTTTTGAGGCAAAACTTTCTGTGCTGTATTGTTTTGGTGTTTTATGTATTTGATATCTTAGTTTTTCATGTTCAGCATTTACCTTCTTTAATATAGAGGTAAACAGATTTCTTACTGTGAGCTTTTGTCGTATTGGGAACTAGATATATGTAGTCTTGTATGATACTACATTTAGCTAAATTTTGTTCCTTGTTAGTATATCAGGTTGTAAATTTTGGCAGGTTATTGACATTTCCAACATAAAATGTGTATATCCATGTAAAATATTGACAATGGGCTTAGTATAATTTTAGATAATGGTGAATGAAATTACCAGTGCATATGGTTTTCTGACCTTACACACTTTTTCATGACTTGTAGAAGAATAAATATGAGTATTCTATTTGGGATCTAAATACTTTCTATTCCCATTAGGCTAAAGAAAGATGCAATGGGTTAGAAATTGATGGAAGAAAGATAAGAGTAGACTATTCTATCACAAAAAGAGCTCATACCCCAACCCCAGGAATATATATGGGCAAACCTACCTTGTAAGTAACAATTCTTGCTTTAACTCTCTCACTACATGGTTGATCAATCTGACTGAGTCACGTGACCTTTTGTACTCTTTAACTCTCTCAACACGGAGTCGGTCAATTTGACTGAGTCACGTGACCTTTTATACTCATTTAAAGTCTTTATAAATTTATTACTTATAACTCTCAATATATTAGGTATAACTTCATGAAATGTGGCAGTCTTTCAGTTAATATTACAAGTCTTTTACATACAAAGGTCAAATTTCTTTGTGAAGTATTTTTAATAAAATAAAATAAAGATTTGTCCATGAATACATTGAGTATTTGTTTTGCATGGTCTGTGTGCAAAGTAATTTTCATGTTAAAATTAAAAATAGTTTTCGTCATCTCAAAAATCTCAAATTTCCTTTGTGTAATCCATAAAACCTACTAAATGCAGTTCAAACGTTTTTTCAATAAAACTTTATAGTTTATATGTTATTTTCTATACCCTATCTCAAAATAGGATTGGTCAATTTGACTGACCTTGTAACCACCAAAAAATAAATCAAAATAAACCTAAATTAACCTTTTTTTCTTTCTAGAATGACTTCAAATTGTGACATGAGACTACATTCATTTATCCTAAGTAGCTCTAAGTTCATAACATTATACATCTATTTGTAATTAACTTTTATTGTTTTATTGCCCTTTGAACTGTGTCTAACTACTATCCGTGCCTTTATAAGTTGTAAATCACTTGGGAAACATGCAACTCGCATTATGCTCTCGAATTACATTACCCACGAGCTGCTCGTGTGTGTGACTCATGAACCATTTTAATTATATTATTATTATTACTTATTTTACCTAATATAGTCTTAAATAACTTAAAAAGATCTGTATTTTTAAGTTTTAGTTACTTTTATAACAATAAGTATGAAAAACAAGAAATAAAGTATTTACCCAATCTTCTTTTTTTCTTGCCCTCGATTGTCCAGGAGATTTAAGCCTGATTTTTTTAAAATAATTATAGTAATGCGCTCAACAATTTTTATTTAATTAAGTAATGCACCAGAGAATATAGACTAATAACATGCAAAAAGTAGACAAATTTACTTTCCTCTCAAAATTTTCTTGGCTTTCTAACTATATAACAAGAGCCGTTAGAAATTCATCCAAGCCAGTCGTTAACTTTCCCATGGGAATGAATCTTGTACTGTGAGTGAAATTTATGATATTCTGTTTAGAATACAATGTTATACAACACATCATTTCATAGATGAAAACCTGGACTATCTATTGCTTATAGGTAATATATAATGAAATCTAAGAGAGAACTATCAACGATTTGTGAAAGAGAGGATGTGGCAGGAGGGGTCTGATTTTCTATTCGATAGCTCTTCAACCAAACAAAATTGAAGGCTATAAAAATTATGGTTTGTTTGAGCAATAACAATTTTATAGAGGGTACTTTACTTTTAATTTCGTACATTTTTGAGGAGTGATAGATAAAATAGGGATGATGACATGCTAAGATAAAATGTGTCAAGTGGGTCACACTTGTAGAAATTCAGGATTTTAAAAAATATTTTCTTGTGGAATTAAGAACTTAAAACTTGTATACTATTAAAATATGGATTATTAGCTAAGATTTTATGCTATTCTAATTGATATAACATAAAAAAATTAGTTTAATGAAAATTTTTATGTAAGACGCTAAAACCTTGTGTCATGTGCAGTAGAGGGTACATGGGGCGATAGGGTTAATGTAACATTTTCTCTTTAATTTTCTTCTTGAATATCCTTTAATCAGTAATTCTCTCTGTAACATAGTAACAAGGTAATTTTATCTTGAGATTTAAGTGTAAAAAGATTTTGATTAATGTTATGTCTTTTTATATTAGTCCAAAACATAATGGTAACTATCGAGGACGCTCTCCATCACCGAACTACCGTGGGCGCAGATATTCACGTTCAAGATCCCGTTCGTATTCACCTCGTAAGTACTACTACTAGGACCTGAGAGTGGAGTAAGGCACAGATCCAAGTGTAGTAACCACGTGTCAACCTGTTATGGAGTTTTGTATATAAATGTTTTTTTTTCCTCTTGTTCATTCATGCTGATGATGCATTAATGGAAAGGATTATAAGTAATATTTTCATGTTTCTAGTTTCCATTTTATCCACTTTTTGATAGAATTGTTATTATAGTTCATATTACAAGTACTTTAAAAGCTTAAGCTAACTTTTTGAAGTGCTGTGTTCATATAAAAAAAAAGCTTTAGAATTGCATTGTGTTTGAGTTATTTTCAAATTTATTAATTTTAAACCTTCGGAAGTAGTTTGTATTGTGGAAATGTACTTTGAACATGATGTGTGTTACTATGATTTCTTCATTACATCAAAATGATACTGTTATTGAATGAATATATGTTAACATGAATAGATTAAAAATAACAGTGTAAGAAATAGAAGAAGCAGTGATACACATGCTATATTATACTCTTGTGATACAAACAAATTAAGGAACAACGTACTTGCTATTCATTATTTCTATACTATTTTAATAACTAGATATAATTGTGTTAATGACTACTACACCATAGATTGGCTGTTAGTATTGTGTGTAGCTGCTTTTTCACAAGTAAGTAATGAAACAAATATTTTAAAAAAGCACTGTACAAAATTATCAAGAAGCACTGTTAGGATTCCAAATTTTGAATTTCTTCTTGACCTGTGTATTATGTAGAAAAATAAAGAAATTAATTTCATATCTGAAGTTACTTTTAGCTAATTCTATTTAGCTATAAGGTTTCTTAGTTATTTTGCACTACGTCAGACAGTTCCAAATATCGAATAAGTAATTGTTCAGTGGAAAGGAAACACATTATTATTAACTGAAAAGCAACAGATAAATATTTGAAACCTTTGGGGAATTATATTTTTTTTAATATACATTAAATACATAATTTGTTCATTGCTTGTTGTTTAGAAAGTTTAATAATGAATGAAGGTAATTTTAGTGTGTGTCTGATGAAAAAAAACATACTAAATCTTATGGAAGATAGTGGCATGTCAAAGCACAAGCTGATAAGCTTGACTGTGTATGCTTTTAAAAAGTTGAGGAGAAGGCTGTATTCGAGACTTTAAAGAAGCATATAGTGTTAACTGTTACTTTGTAGGTTGTAGATGTTTTTACTTTTATGAAAACATGCATTCCTAGCTAAAGCCTTGTTTCTTTTGGCTATGGATGTTATGATTCTGTTGAGAATCCTTTTGTGTTTGAATGTTAGCATGACCTGAGTAACAAATAAGATATTCTATGTTTTTAAAAATTACTATTTATAGAGAATTTAATGTTTTTACCTTTCAGTTTATTTTTTCTAGCTTGCAACAGTTCAAAGGGAAAAAATAGAAAACCATTTTTCATATCAAGTGAAAAATTATCAACGAGATATGTCAATAAATATTTTTTTTAATTGTAAAAATTTGCAGAATCCTTCTGAAACAACAGTTAAGAAATCAATTATAATTATCCCGAATTGAATGGATAATAACTGTTCATATTAATATCCAGACATTTGTAGCAAATTTGTTTCTGTGCAAACATTGTATACATGTGAAGCCATTATGATACTGGTGTAATCAAAGTGAATCATTAACCTTGGTTGCTTTTTCTTAATGATCCAATTAGTTAACAGAATTATTTTTTATTTAGGTCATTTTGAGTTAAGTACAAAATGCTATGTACTGATCCAAGTTTCACTATTAGACTGATATTGTAGCATTGTATAATTTGTTTTCACTTGACAAGATTTTTTTTTTGAAAGACTACCAAATATGTACTGCAAAATGTTGAAAGTTCAAAAGTTTCAGAGGAGTACATTGTAATGTGCTTGGTATAGCAATCCTACATGTGTAAGTAACTAGTACAGTGTGTGGCATATCCATTGTGTATGATTTGAATAAAGATTTCATTCTTCTCTCTAACACTTGTTTCCCTTTGTTTTGAATTAAAAGGGCTTGAAGAAAGAAATAAAGGATGAAGATGTAAGAAGTGAAGAATTTAATTGCTTTGCGAAGATGATGAAAATAATTTTTGCATTGAAAGAATAGAAGCAGGGTTGATTAATGAAGAGAAAACAGGAAGGGGTCAAAATAAGAATAATGAAGTTTTCATCTGTAGGAAGTTGAGGTGTGAAGAAAAGCACACAGTTAATCAGAATTTGAAGAGAAGTTGAAAAGTTATAGAAGAAAATTTGGGTGAAATTCTGTTCTGAAGAAAATGAATAATGAAGGCTCAGTTAATTATTGTACAAGTAAGCAAGCATCCAACTTGTAATGTTCTACTTAATTTTTCATGAAATGCAAAATTCTCCCTGTTTATCTAATTACTTATTGCAAAAAACCTGCTGTAGGTATATAAAATCCATCTTCAAAATGCATTTTTTAAGAAGAAACATAAAATCATACATATATCTACGAACAAAAATTTTTATCACAAGCATAACCCCTTCCTCACATATTTCCTTATGGGCTTTTTGTGGTCAGATTTGTTCAGAATAGCTTCACATAATTAGCATAGACAAATAATAAAATGAAGCCAAAACTATCACTTCTGTTTAGGTGCAATAAGTGAGCAGTAATGGAACAACTTTTTTTACAAGCTGGTTCAAAAGTTCTGGGTAGTTGTTAAAAAAACTTTAGAAATAACATTTAAATAGGAAATTGAACTTGTAACAAGGCAACATCTAATGTAATTAAAGTCTGGTGGAGAGGTCTGTGAAGTAAGCAACTGATCAGTGACTTTACAGAATTATATATATTTTACTTTGAAGATAGTGCAAGTAATAGTTAATTCATATTATAAATATACTTGTTAAGAATTGTGTAGGAACTAGTAACCTTGGGGATTAACATTTTCTCAATGGGTTGGTTGCAAGACCTTAAAAAATCATGAAGATATTCATATTAAAACTGTGAAGTGAAATTTGGCAGGCTTTAAATGAACAATACAAAAAAATCAGAATTTTCAATAAATTATTTATAGTAGATTTATCTATGAATTTATAAAGCCTTTACTGAGTCAGTCTGAGTGCAAAGTGATTCTTATATTAAGAATAAAATTTTTTTTCATATTTTATTTGTGTAACCTCTAGAACCTAAATGAATATCAAAAGTATTTTAAGGTAAAAATTTATTTCATCTGTTATTTTCTCTTCCCTAACAGTAACTTTAGCAAAATCATCAATGTAGAGTAAAATGAAATGTTACAAATTATGAAACAGAATTAACAATCCCTTTTGAAGATTTTCAGTTTTCTTACATTCACTATTTCTGATACAGTACCTTACCTTGAACAAGTCTTGAACTCCCTCATATCCCACCATCAATGTGATTTACTGTGTTTTGCACGTGATTCATCATGTGGCTTCCTCTATTTGATTCTACCGAACTATCACTTCTTTTTTTCTCCACTTAACCATGCGGTGCCTTCCCAAGCCTCTCCTACAGAATCTATCAGGCCTAACTCCTCAGCCTTTATGGATATGACTTCTCAGATGTGCTCCATTTTATCGATTTCACCGATTTTATGTGATCCTGTTCCTTCCTGTTACATGACACACCATCTTTTGAGTACCTTGTTTTTCCTCCTTTCCCTGACATCAGGATTCGTGCTGAGCATTTTGTTTCTCAGTTGAGGGCTGGTGCTAGTACGCTTTGTCCTTTATGTGCTTCTGATCATTATGCTTTGCTTATCGTCAGGCTGTTCAACCCTTTCTCGTCTCCCAGCAGTTAGAGTCATTTTTGCCAGTGTGGGGGGGCTGACTCTGAAAATCCTATTAATTTCTCCCAGGCATAGTTTCCTGCCTTTGTCTTACCCTTACAGCTCTCCTGTGGTACTTCTCCACCTGATACCTCCTTTCTGAGGCACTCCACTGATCCCTCAAGGGGTTTTGGGGTGATACCCTCTTCCTCATTACCTCAGTGTTGGCACGATTGTCCACCTTGGCCCTATTTCTTCACACATGGTTTCTTTATTATTGGGATCTTCTTGGGAGAGACACTGTCTTGTCACATGTTTGTTTACCTTCCACTTATCTTTGTGACTTACAGATGGCTCCTTTTCTCCATCTGTCTGTTTCGAAGATATTCATGAGTCTGGAATCTGTGAAACAACATTAGACCCCTTTGATTTTGGCTCTCTTCAGTGGACACTGCACGACCTGATCTGCATTGGTAGTTGAACAAGGACAACACGATGAGGGGAGTACTGCTTCCTCCACCTCGTCTGGATTTGCATCTGTTCACTGATGCTTCTCTCCAAGGCTGGGGGTGTGGGTCAATCAGCAGGAGCTTCTGGACAATGGTCTCAGATCATGAAATCTTACCATATTAATATCTTGGAGCTTTTGGTGGTACGACATGCTTTGGATCATTTTCTTCCTCTGGTATGGAACCAACATGATCCATTCAAAAAAACTCCACCGTTGTGGACTATATCAATCACCCATTCCTGTTGCCTTTGTGGTTGAACATCAGAACTCCTTTATTGGGCTCGCGCACTGCAGATAAGTCTCCTTGCTTGTCATGTTCCAGGTGCTATCAACCTTGTGGCGGATCATCTTTCAAGACCTGACCAGATTTATCCCAAGGAGTGGTTTCTCGACTTGCAGGTTTTCAAGTAGCCATGCAGTTAGTGGGGTACTCCTCATCTGGATGTTTTTGCCACTTTCCTCAACACTAATTACCTCATTTTTGGTTTTTAGTTCCTCATCCTCATAAATATGTAATAATAACATAGTGGTTTGGTAGTAATTACGGAGATAAATTACATAACGTTTACTTAAAGTGTGGACTATCAATGGAACTACCAATATACAATCAGTTTGATATATTAAAGTTCTAACATGGTACATTCCTATTACCATTTTACTACCTTTCATTGCTTTCTACCTCTTCTTAGTACCTATAGAGTACCTTGTTTCTATCTTTCAGGTCCACCCAGAATACTTTCAATATATTCGTTTGCAAAAATAAGTAAGAAGTAATATCATATATTCAATATCATTGATACAACATTATAAATCACAAAAACATACAAATTTTTTTATCTCTATAATTCTAATATAGTCTCTTCATCTGAATCAGGCTGTGTTGCTGTGGGAGTCCTGGGAAACGTCAAAGCAGTTCGTGCTTGTACATGGCCAGGTGGTTAGGGTGCTTGACTCGCAATCTGAGGGTCGCTGCTTCGAATCCCAGTCCCACCAAACATGCTCACCCTTTCAGCCGTGGGGACATTATAATGTGACAGTCAATTCCACTATTTGTTGGTAAAAGAGTAGCCCAAGAGTTGGCGGTGGGTGGTGATGACTAGCTGCCTTCCCTCTAGTCTTACACTGCTAAATTAGGGACGGCTAGTGCAGATAGCCCTCGTCTACCTTTGTGCGAAATTCAAAAACAAAAACAAACAAACTCATGCTTGTAAATATAAAAGACCAGTTCAAAGTTTAACAGATCAATAGAGCTATCAATAAAATAGAAATAAAAAAATTTGTATTTTTCAAGGACTAATAATATTATTTGCCAAAACGTTGATTAGTTTAATCATTATAAACACCTGCTTACAAATAAAGTTGTGCCTAAGTTTATGACAAAAATGAATATTTTGTTTCATGCAATATGAAACTCAGACAAATGTGGTACATGGCTTAGCAGTGAGTCATCGTATTCTCTATTTTACATTTGTCTTAAATGCATTTCAGATTTGGCTATATTATATTCTATATATTTTAATTGCTGCCATCTGCAGCTAAACCTTAGCATCCTAGCTTTTGGGATGAATTCATCTACATGCCTCTGTTGAATCATTAGAAAGCTCATTATTGCAATTTACAATAACATTATCAAATTTAACAAAGCTAGAATTTGACCTTTATGACACTGGAAAATTCGTAAATTAAAGAAATAATAGGATTTGATATTATAAATGTGGTAATGAGGTTAAGTATGTGGTATTAAAATACATCACCTGATACAAACTTTGTATGTCATTGATATCTTATAAATATCAGTTTGTTACGTAAATGACCGTTTCTGAATACCATTGTTTTCATTGCACAGTCAGTCTATTGACTGGGCTTGTTTTCACAAAGCTATGTAAAACAGATAATTATAATTTTTTAAATAATTATCTGAGTAGTTTTTACCATGTTTGCTAAACCAAAATAATGATTGATTAAAACTGAAAATATCCAAATATACATACTGATAATTATTTTATACAGTGGCAGGTCTTGAAATGTTTGCTTGTTCTTCCTGCCCTTCATATTGAAGTCAGACCACAGGCAGAGAGTCCTCAATTTCTTAAACATTCTTCGTACAGATTGTCCAACATTGTTCCCTCCTGAGGCACTCAGGATGGCATCCTGAAAAATTCGATTCGATTCGATCCATTCGATTCAGATGGATGCTTGATTACATCTATAAATTGGCATACGTTTCATATGCCTAAATTATTTATATGGTAATAAGTATAAATAAAAAAAACAACAAAAAACTATTCATTATAGGACTTATCAGTTATTTTCTCTAGCCTGGGTTTTCTAATATCTTGGTACAGAGTTGGTCCAAGTCTTCCCATGTATCCATTGGTTCGTCCACCATGTCATCCACTACTTCCACCTCTGGTGCCTGGGGTTGTGAAACTGCTCTTCCTTTAGCAGCGAGTTGTTGGAAAAGTTCTGTGTGCTTTTTTTGGTTGGCAGTGATTTCATCCAGCTTCATTAGGACTTGCTGCTGGTAATCTAAAAGAAGTATGCAGAACAAGTAGCTGGCCAGTTAACATAATATGGTGTGCATATAAAGCCAGAGCAGCCTTTAACCCAGGCCACCAAAAATTGAGCTGGGCTATTAAATCTGATGACTTGGTACCACAACTTTTAATTGCATTATATAGAAGTTTGTTTTATTGAGCACAGCAATCTGAA